TCAAGAGTTGCATGCTCTACTGACTGAGCCAGTCAGGCACCCCTGCTTGAACATTTTTTAGACTGTTATTCTTTGTATGGATTTGTTTTAGTGGTTACTCTAAATATTACGTTATATATGCATATCTTCACAGTCCACTGGTATAGACATTTTACAGTTCAAACAAAATGTAAAAGCCTTAAGGCCCTTTTTTAAAACTCTGCATAAAGGCTTTATTTTATTTTTGTTTTGTTTTGTTTTGTTTATTTTTTAGAGAGAGAGTATGTGTGAGCTGGGGAGAGGGGCAGAGGGAAAGAAAGAATCCCAAGCAGGCTGCACCCTCAACACAGAATCTGATGTGGGGCTCAATCCATGACCCTGGGATATTTAAAGTTTATTTATTTATTTAGAGAGAGAGCACAAGTAGGGAAGAGGCAGAAGAGAGGGAGGGAGAGAGAATCCCAAGAGATTTGTGCAAACCCAAGGCTCAATCCCATGACCTTGAGACCGTGACCTGAACCAACTGACATCAAGAGTCGGACACTTAACCAACTGAGCTACTCAGATACCCCTTAAAGATTTTAAGTAACACCTCCACCCAATATGGGCTCCAACTTACAACGCTGAGAACAACTGACTGAGCCAGCGAGGTGCCCCTTTTTTCTCTTTGTTTTAATTTTTGTCTTCCAGTGGGAGGATTTCCTTATGTTGTTGGATTGTTCTTGGATATCCACTTACATTTAAATGAGGCACTAAAAATGGGACATTAATAAACCCTTATGGTAACTGAACAGTTTGGTTCAAAGCTTTGTTGGGGCGCCTGGGTGGCTTAGTTGGTTGGGCATCTGACTTCAGCTCAGGTCATGATCTCACACACAGTTTGTGGGATCGAGCTCCGTATCAGGCTCTGTGCTGACAGCTCGGAGCCTGGAGCCTGCTTCCGATTCTGTGTCTCCCTTGCTCTCTGCCCCTCTCTCACTTGCACTGTGTGTGTGTGTGTGTGTCTCAAAAAATAAATAAAAACATTAAAAAAAATTTTTTTAAAGCTTTGTTGGCAAAAATAGGAATATAAACCCAACAGTCTCATATAATCATGTAGTATTAGAGACCCTTAACATTTGGTGTCTTTAAGATTCTTCTGGAATATTTCACTTTCTGTAAAGAAGTATCTGCTAATTTTTTGCTGGATGTTGGTGTTACTGAACAGAGCAAGAAAGGGAAACTTGATCTCACAATGCAGTCTGCAGACTTTTGCCTAAAACCACAGTTTCTTCTATGTCTGGTGTTCTCAAGCTGAGTCTCCCTGGTTCAGTCTTAGAATAATTCTCCAGGTCCCTGTTGGGACAGACTAGAGGCCTATCATCTGCTTCATTAGAGTAGGGGTTGAATGGGGACCTGACGAGTTCTAACTACTACAGACTTTCAAATCATCCATTCGTGTCAGCCCCTGCCTAGCCCCTACTTTCCATTCCTCCTGTCCCTTCAGTTGCTATGTTTTCCCCAGGTTGCATGGAGCAAATTAATTAGGTCCAAGTGTCTCTCTTCAGGCCCTTATGTTTGACCATCCTACTTTCTACTGAGTAATTTGTCATCCTTCCATCCACTTTCAGTTTTCATGTATTCTAATTTGCAGTTACAGCTGACTTCTAGTTTTATCCAAGGAGTTTCTGTTTCTTATCCTTTTTGTTGATTTGGAGTGATATTTAAAAGAAGGATGGCAACAAACACTTTTTAAAACTGAAAATTTTGTTAAATCTTAAACTCAAAAAAAAAGTCTTAATGCTCAACACGACTTTTATCTTCTTAGTAAATTATTTCTCTGAACTTTTTTAAGTCTTAGCTGTGACATAATACCTTTGATTTTAGTGTTTTGATTAACAAATATTTTTTTATTAAGTTTATTTGTTTATTTTGAGAGAGACAGAGACAGCGCAAGTGGGGGAGGGACAGAGAGAGAGAGAGAGAGAATCCCAAACTGGCTCTGCACTGCCAGCACAGAGTCCAGTGTAGGGCTTGAACCCACAAAGCCGTGAGATCATGACCTGAGCTGAAACCAAGAGTCTGACTCTTAACTGAACCACCCAGGCACCCCTGATTAACAGTCTTTATGTTAACAAAATAGTTGTAAAACTGGCATTTAAAAACAAACGGAACAAAAAAAAAAAAAAAAAAAAAAAAAAAAAAAAAAAAAAAAATGGAACCAATCCTAATGCTTCCTCTTGATGGGAATATTGACTGTTTTATTATTTCAAAGCAGATTGTTGTGTATGCCTCATTTAAATTTAAAATCTACCATTGAGCAAGATTATATGTTATAACAAAACTCTTTACCAGTTTGAGAGCTCACATTATCTTTGATAATCTGGTATAATATAATGTACACATTATTTTATCTTGTTTCTGTAGTCTTTATAGAATGGCAAAGGCTGAAATTGCTGAGAAATATTAAACTGCAGTTTTTCTGTTCTCCAAGGTTCTTTTAGAGCAGGATATATTTCATCGTTCCTTGATGGCCTGTTGTTTGGAAATTGTGCTCTTTGCCTATAGCTCACCTCGTACTTTCCCCTGGATTATTGAAGTTCTCAATTTACAACCATTTTATTTTTATAAGGTGAGATGAGAGCAAAGTTATGATATGGTGCACCTCATAAACGTTCTGTTTATCTTAGTGTTAAAGTTACAGGCTGTAATGATGTCTGGGAAATATTTCCAGAGGTATTCTGAAAACATTTTAGTCCTTTGGGTGGAATCAAAAACAAAAGGGAAAGGATGAGGATATTAGTAAATTCAGCCAGTCTCAAACTGCAGTCCTTTTTCCTTCACTGACTTGCAAATGTGACCAGGAATTAAGTAGTTAGCTTTGAATTTTCCATATTTATAAATGGAAATCATAATCCTATTAAACAGATGCATAATGAAGAAGAAAAGCTCTTTTCCCCAGGAGAAAGAAAAGGTATGAAATGGTTCGTGGTTATGGTTTAGCTAATGAAGCTGAAATAAAAGATTGTGCTCCTTCCTTAAATTTGAACTAATTCAGTGTGGATCAGTCTTACTTAGCTTTTTTTTTTTTTTCCTGCTAGAACTATTTTATTAATCTTTTTCTTACACAACATAAGGGTCACAACTACAATAACATTTAATGTTACCTAGTATCCGAATTTAAGACTGATGCTACTACATTACCCTTATTGGTATGATTTAGTTAATATTTTGCTGTATGTGCTATTTTCAAAGTATTTATAGAAAAGTTAGTTTGAAGAGTTCAATTTTTATACCTAAAATATGTCTCAAGTAATGGAAAATGCAGATCATTAGAAAGCTTATCCATTTGAATTGCTAAGTGGGATTTAAATATTTTTTTAGTGTCTTAGGGAAAATTGCTTCTGATACTTGTTGATGTGTGTTTTCAGATTTTCTGTTAGGAAATATAAGTAATTTTATTCAAGGACAATGTTGGTTTTGACCTTATCTGATAGCAATTCATTTTTATTTGTAGCATCCTTTTTTCATTCAAGAAGTTAAATGCCTTTGTTCTTTAACCACATAAATAATATAGCCTCCTTGAAGAAAAACAGGAAAGTACATATAAATGTGAATATTAAAACCATACAATATAATCCTAATTATAAATAATAATCACTTAATATTTTTGTGTATATACCTACAGACTTTGTTCTAGAATTTACCCTTATTAAAATAGAATTATATAAGCAGAATTCCTTTTAAATATATTATTCATCTGTTCTCTTGATCTATTGGGAAGAATTGTCTGAGAAGAGACAGTAAATTCAAAATAGCACTGGACTCAGAACCCAAGACCCGACTTCCACTATTGGCCTTGGTTGACCAGTTTCTCCCTATCATTGCCTCATTTCTCCATGTGTAAAAGAAAACATGAAAAACAGAAATGTATGTGAAAGTATTTGGGACATCTTAAGAAGTCCTTTTAAATTAAAATATATCGATCAGCCATTGAATCATAGTTCAACAATATCATTAGTTCTGTGTCCTTATAAGACCAAAGCTAGTCATACATGAAAGCCTAGAAATGACCAAGACTACCTATATTACCTTTTCAATTTTCTCTTTACCAGGTTATTGAGGTGGTTATCCGCTCAGAGGAGGGACTTTCCAGGGACATGGTGAAACACCTGAACAGCATCGAAGAACAGATTTTAGAGAGTTTGGCGTGGAGTCATGATTCTGCACTGTGGGAGGCTCTCCAGGCTTCAGGAAACAAAGTTCCTACCTGTGAAGAGGTGAGTTAGGGCAAGGCTGATGATCCTGTCATTTTAAAAAATAATAGCTTTATGGGGTGCCTGGGTGGCTCACTAAGTGTCCAACTTCAACTCAAGTCATGATCACGCGGTCCATGGGTTCGAGCCCCACATTGGGCTCTATGCTGACAGCTCAGAGCCTGGAGCCTGCTTCGGATTCTTTGTCTCCCTCTTCTCTGCTCCTCCCCTGCTCACACTCTGTCTCCCTCTCTCAGGAAATGAATAAACATTAAAAAAAATTGTTTTTAAACATATAATTTAGTGTTTAGTACATTCATGGATAGGTGCACCCATCACCTCAGTCAATTTTGGAACATATCCATCACCTCAACAAGAAACTGTATCATTTAGCTGTCACTTTCCTTACCCACCTTCTTCTCCTTAGCCCTAAGCAACTTAATCTACTTCTGTCTTTATTAATTTGTGTATTCTGAACATTTCAAATATGTGGAAGCATATGATATGTGGTCCTTTGTGTCTGGCTTCTTTCACTTAGCATTATGTTTTCAAGGTTCGTCCATGTTATAGGATATATTAGCACTTCATTGCTTTTTATGGCTTAATGATACTCTGTCATTTGAATATATCATTTTGTTCATCCATTTATCAATTGATAGACATTTGGGTTGTTTCTGCCTTTTGGCTTTTATGAATAATGCTGCTATCAGCATTCACAGACAAGTTTTGTATGGATATGTTTTTATTTTTCTTAGGTACATTTCTAGGAATAGAATTGCTGGGTCACGTGTACCTCCAGCTGTGTACACGTGTACCTCCAGCTGTGTACCTCCAGTTTGGGGAAACCGTCACACTCTTTTCAAAGTGGCTGCACCATTTAACATTCCTACCATCAGTGTATGAACATTCCAGTTTCTTCACATCTTCTCTAAAACTTACCTTTGTTTTTTCTTCCCTGACACATCTTTTTTATTCTAGCCATTAGTAGACATAAAGTGATATTTCGTTACGGTTTTTATTTACATTTCCCTGTTGGCTAATGATGTGCAGCATCTTTTCATGTGCTTATTGGCCATTTGTGTATCTCCTTTGGAGAAATATCTATTCAAATCCTTTGCCGTTTTTTAATTGGGTTATTTGTCTTTTTATTATTGAATTATAGGAATCCTTTATATATTGTAGATATGACTCCCTTATCTGTTAATAGGATTTTTAAAATTTGCCTTTCATTTCATGGGTTGCCTTTTAATTTCTTGATCAAGTCTTTTAGAACACAAAGTTTTTAATTTTGATAATGTCCTGTTTATTTTTTTCGTTTCTTGTGCTTTTGGAAGTCATATCTAAGAAACCACTAATTTTATCATATTTAATTTTTCAAATGTCTATGTAAAAAATTAAATGGTTTTCATTAGTAG